GGGAAAAGTTAATGGAATATAAGGTAACCACAATGGTAGGAAGGGGGTGAGAGGCAAGGGGGAGGTGGAGGGAAGCAATGGTAGAGCACAGGGTAGGGGGTAGATACAACATAGTTTGGGTGGGGTGGAAGAACAAGGTAGATAAGAGAACACTGACGCAGGTTTGCATGGGCTAAATGGGACAGAGGTAAATAGTGATGCATGCTCAACCTTGGGACAACACGGTTGTCTGTGAAATACAGATCAAGTTATAGTCTGACTGTCTTATGAATATTGGTTTCCCTTGCCTACTATTGTAAAATAGAAACTTGAGTGGGATAGAAAGAATGTCAGGAAACATGGTTACAGAAAGCTTGTAAGCCCATCTTCAGCCTATAACTGATTGGAACACCTAAAAGGGGTTCTAGAACTTGCCCAGTGATAGAGGCTTCCTGTGGAGCTTTTGTAGTGTACAGGACCTTAGGTGGAATCCTGAGCTCCATCCAGAACCTTCTGAGGTGGGACATGCAGACCAGCCTGGAACAGCTAGAAGATACATCTTCAAAGAAAGATCATCAGGAAAAACCCAAAACAAAAATGGCAGTAGGATTGGCTACTACAAGAATAAGCAAATTGTTTGCTGGGAAGCTATCAAGGCAAGCAATCAAGTCCCTTCAGAACAAACCCCCTGTAAGACTGAAACTCAAAGGGAATACATGAGCAGGCATGTAAGCTGCTGGTGACCAAACTGGTCTACTGGTGAGTGGAAGAGGGGGAAAGGCAGCAATGGAAAAATGGGTTGAATTCTACCACATCTCATAGACTCCTGTTGACCTGGAGATGAGAAAGAGAGAGAAGAAGGGCTGATTGGTTCAAAGTGTAGTGAGATCTGGGGACACTTGAGCCCATAGACAAGGACACGGAAGGCTAGAGTTGAGAGTAAAACATCCAGCTGATACGGAGTAAGGGAAGATGCACAAGAAAACCCAACCTTACAGACAGTACCCATTTGACCTAGCCTCCATGTCTTGATAATCAGAACTCAACTGAAGAGGAAGATTGAAAAAAAAAATTTTTTTTTTCTTTTATTAATAAAGGAAACAAAGGTAAATTGCTACAATTTGATGAACCTGACCTATATTCAAGGAGGTAGTAGCTCAAAATACCAACAGAGGGGGAAGGAGTCTTTATATCAATTATCAATGCTATCCCCCCCCTCTATACAGGGTAGATAGGAATAGGTAACTTAGACATCAGCTACCTAAAATGAGGGGGCGATAAAAGCACAAAGTAACTGGCTTGCAAGTTTTCAAGAGGGAGTATAGTTTTAAAGTGTGTGGGGGAAGACAGAGTCCCCACTGAGTAGTTTTCATCTTGTCTAGATGGGTCTGGTAAAAAGAGATGGGGATAAAATTCTTATGAGTCAATAGTAATTGTTATCATGACTAATCGCAACTGTCACAATTGTAAAGGTAGAAGTTTTGTAACAAAAACGGGGGAGTAGTTAATCTTACAGTCCTGAAACAAAAGACCCTAGGACCATGAAGGGAGAAGAGCACAAGCAGAATGTGAGACCTTATCCAGAGAAGCAGGGTTACCAGAGATGGAGGCAGAGATGGGGACATGGAGAGAGGGAGCAGCTGAGGACTCTAGATTCATGGAAAGAGAGGGACTAAGAGCTGGCAGCCAGGAGGCAGACTTGCAGAATGTGCCCTTTAGTGGTGTAAATTATTTTTATATGCCTGAGTGTTAAAAAAAAAAAAGAGCTAAAATGAGTAGAGCGCAATACTGCTATCTGATGGTACAAGGAGGGGATTATAATCATTGTAATGAAACAAGGTGTATGATTTGTTAAATGTAAAACTGATGATTTGCCCTGTTTTACATTTAATTGATTTATTGCTCAATTCACAATAAAGACTTAAAAGAAAACATTCAGGCCATCAACATACATATGAAGTAATGCTCAAGATCATTAGCCATTAGAAAGATGCATATCAAAACAACAATGAGAGAGCATCCTGCCTCAGCATTGATAACCAAGTTAAAAACAAACAAACAAACAGAAAACAACAAATGCAATTAGGACCCTCCTACACTGCTGACCTGGTGTGGCAATGTAGGATAAACACTGGATCATAAGGTGAGTTTGAACTGCAAGGTACACGGTTCAAATCAGAAACCTTATAGAGTGTTGCTATGAGTCAAAACCAACTGGACAACACTAAGCAACAACACAATACACTGCTGGCAGGACTGTATATTGGTGTAACCACTGTGGAAAACGGTATGGTGCTTCCTCAAAAAGTTGGAAATAGAAAGACCGTATGACTCAGCAGTCCCTCTACTTGATATGTATCCTCAAGAAATAAGAGCTATGACATGAATAGATTTATGCACACCCATGTTCATTGCAGCACTCTTCACAAAAGCAAAATTGATGGAGACAGCCTAAATGCTCATCAACAGAATAATGGTTAAACAAACTGGTGTATACACACAATGGAATACTATGCAATGTTGAAGAATAATGATGAATCTGCGAAACACCTCATAATGTGGATGAACCTGAGGACATTACATTGAGTGAAATTAGTCAGTGACAAAAGGACAAATACAGTATGAGATGATTATTGACAAGCAAAGGTTTTCTTGCAAAAAAGAAACATTCTATGATGGTTACCAGGGATGGGTGGGAATGGAAAATTGCTCACTGGGTAGAGGATAAATATGTTAACTTGGTAGTGGAAAAGGCAATATATAAGAGGGAAAGATAACAATAGTGGAAGACACAGGGAGGAATGTAAGAGCTAAAGTGAATAAAGGTAAATCCTGTTTACTACAGATACTGCAAAGATAGTTGAAACCATACATTGACAGAGAACTTCCAGAGAACTTTCAGATTCAGAAGAGGACTTGGAATAAGGGATATCATTACTGACATCAGATGGATCTTGGCTGAAAGCAATATGTCGTTTGATTTCTTGACTGCTGCTTCCATGTGTGTTGATAGTTGACCCAAGAAGAATGAAGTTCTTGACAACTTCAATCTTTTCTCCATTGATAAGAATGTTGTTTATTGGTCCAGTAGTGAAGATTTTTGTTTTCTTTACATTGAGATGTAATCCATACCGAAGGTTGTGCTCTTTGATCTTCATCAGTAAATGTTTTAAGTCCTCTTCACTTTCAGCAAGTAAGGTTGTATCATCTACTTCTCGTAGGTTGTTAATGAAGAGTATCATGTTTGGTTCGGTGGAGGGTCAGAGAAAAAGAGGAAGACCCCCAACGAGATGGATTGGCCAAGTGGCAGCATCGATAGGCTCAAGCATGGCAACAGTAGTGAGGTTGGCTCAGGATCAGGCAGTGTTTCGTTCTGCTGTGCAAAGGTTGCTATGAATCGGTATCGGCTCGATGGCACATAACAATAACAAACTCACTGGATTTTACTTGTGGGCTCTTTGGTCCTCAAAATCAATGCTCATTCCCAAGCACAAGTAATAGCTAAGAGCACTTAATACATACCAGGCATAAATTCATTTACTTCTCATAACTATTATGAGATAATTAGCTTCACTGAACATAAGAGAAAATGGAGGCACAAAACACCCGAGTAACTTGCCCAAGTTGCACAATTAGCAAGTGGCGGAACCAACTTTTAAGCCATGGAAGCAGAGTCCCAGAGTCATGACTAAAGTCTGAAAATACTCCCCGATTCCTCTACTCTATGATAATAGGGTTGCAGTTAATGTTATCTGAATGGATAGCTACCCCTGAATCCTTTGCTCTCTGAAATTCCGACCTAAGCACTCCTCAGCACTATGAGTGTTCATCTTGGGCTCTTCTGTGGCCTGTCAGGGAAAGTTCAATCACAACTTTACATCATTGACATTGTCTGGGCTCTCACTCTTATGAGTTGTTTAGTTCATTGACAGTTGAATCCACATTACATCCACACAGAGTGATTTCCAACCCCCAGTGCTGTCTTGCTGGCTTCTGACTTCTACTTCCATGATTCCCAGGGAAGGACGTCCTATTCTGCCAGAGCCATGCAGCAGGCTGTCTTTGTACTCCTCTTTCCCACGCCCCAAGTTTTCTCCATATTTTTTATACTCACCTGTTCTCTCCATGCAACCCCTCCATTATTAGTGTCTCTAGGACCAATCTGGAGCTCTGTTACCAGGTTGTGGCAGCATTTCCTCCTTCCTTCCACCATCTCTCCTTCAGAAGTCCTAAGTGCTCACTGTGGACCTGAAGATACACAGAGGCTTACCTGGTCTTAGACTGTAAACTCTCAGCTCGGCTACCATCATCCCTTCAGGTACTGCTCTAGACCCGGAGATTCCAGACAAACAAAACCAACAACACCCCTGCTCAAGGAGCTGACCCTTAGCCAATCTGCTTGAAGGAGAAAAGAAACACCCCTCTCCTGCCTTCCACCTGCTCACAGAAAGGAAGCACATTTTGGCAAAAAGGTGATCCAGTGTTTTATTGATACAATTTCATTTTCTTCTCTCAATAGAATTTAGGACAAATGATTTCTTACTTAGTGTCTCCATAGGGACCTGCTGTTCAGCTTTCTAGACATCATCTTTGTGGACATCTCGTTTTCCCAGACAGCTATTTCTGGAGAAAGCTTTGATAAAAGGATGTTGAACAAATGACGGTGGCCCTAGAAGGTCCATGGGATTGGAGAAGAGTTGGTTTCTTTGGCAAGTTGATCCTACTATCTCTCCATCATAATAATCATTTTTATTATCAAAATTGGTATGACTAGGAGCCACAAAGTGGGGCTGAGGAGCAGCTATTCTTTATAACTCCAGGTTGGCAACTGGTCACTTTGGGGAGAGACGACCTTGCAGAACAGCACAGGAGCCCTTTGGACATTCCCAGCTGGACCAGGAGGTCAGAGATGAGGCCTGAATTCTGTACTGCATTTGTCTATTGCTGGACAACTAGAAGTCAGAAAAGCAAAAGAGGGAAGTTCCATGCAGACCCACACGATGGCCTCCTCTTCCCCTGAGCTACTGATCCAAAGCAGAAGGTGGGAGATCCTGTAGTTCCTCATTTTCTGGGTACACCTCTGACACCTTATTCATCTTGGCAAAAATCTTATTGATTTCCATAAATGTCTTTGCCTTGGTCTCAGGGACAATCATGAAGATGTAAATAGTGGTAAGAAGGCATACTACGGCAAAAATGATGAAGCTGTAAGCCCCCATGCCATCCTGTGGGGAGAGAACAGGTGAGAGTCACATGGGAAGGGGCTTTCTAACCCTGTGGCTGCCAGGTGTGTGGCAGAGTCAGGAGCCTGAGTACTTTCTAGAAGAGGGTCTCACTGTATTGTCTGGGAGTCCTGGTAGTCGGATGATGAACGTGTTCATCTGCAAGAGGCTGGAGGTTCAAGGCCTTGGAAAATAGCTTTGGTGATCTATATCTAAGAACTCCACAGCTGAAAGCCAGATGGAGCAGTTTCATTTGGACACTCACAGCACTGTGAATCGGAGTTGATCTGAGGGCAAATGATACTGGAACTGCTTGAGCATTTATGAGTTCAGGGCCCCCCATACCTGAATGAAAGGGAAGATCAAGCCCACGGTGAAGTTGGAGAGCCAGTGAACGCTGCCCCCCACCATGAAGGCGGCTGGCCGAGACGACTGCAGGAAGATTTCGGTGATGAACAGTGCAGGAATGGGACCTTGAGGAAGAAAGAGGGAAACTGTTCTTCCCTGCAGGTGCATGAGGCAAGCCTCATACAGATAGGTGTGAGCCCCCGCCAGGGAAAAGAGCTCTAGGGATGCCGGTCTAAATAAAGCAGGGGCTCCCAGTCAGACAGAACAGCAGTGAGGATGCAAACGGCACTTTACGGACAACTCCGTGATGCCCTGTTGTTGTTGTTGAGTGTCGTCTAGTTGCTTCCGACTCATAACCCTTTTAGGGTTTCCAAGAGTGGCTGTTGGGTGGGAACAGCTGACCTTGCAGTTAGCAGTTCTGTTCGTATCCTACAGCACCACACCAGGACTCCCTGTGATGCCCTTGGGGTTGTTGTTGTTAAGTGCCGTTGAGTCGATTCCAACCCATAGCAACTTTGTATAGGGTTTCCAAGGAGTGACTGGTGAGCTTGAACCTCTGACCTTGTGGTTTGAACCAACTTTGCAAACCAGTGCATTAACCCACAACACCACACCAACCTGTGATGCCTTGTTGTTGTTAAGTGCTGTCAAGTCGATTCTGACCCATAGCGACCCTGTATAGGGTTTCCAAGGAGAAGCTGGTGATCTTGAACCTCTGGCATTGCAGTTCAAACAACTTTGCAGTCTGATGCATTAGCCCACATATGATGCCTTAGCAGTGGCCAAATGACCCCCTGTAGGCTAACCCCATTAATCTCACCTGGAACTTGCTATCATTTCATTCTGATTAGGCTCCACCCAGACCTAGGAAAGGCCTCATCATCCAGCCCCACGGATCACACAGTCTGATCTGCAACTGATCCTGGGGATGGCCTGGGGCTGGGTGATGTTTCCTTCCACTGGGCATGGATGGCATTACTATGAGGCCAGGGCCAACTCTATGGCAGCTGACAAGCACCACCCAATGAAACATGAGGAAGGCATAGGAAAGAGGGAATGACACCCTGAGAACAGCTCTGGGGTACATACTGGGCCCAAGGGCATGTCCTATGATGTAGGAGATGACACAGGTGATGCTGATGTAAGGCATCCAGGACACTGTCTCCTGCAGGAGGAAGCAGAGGTGAGTCACACCTGACAAAGCAAAGACAACCTGGGAGGAGAGGCATCTGAAATCTTGGGCCCCACTGGTCAAACTGGCATGATCTGTGGGGTGGCCTTGCTGACCAGCCCAGAAAGACAGGCCCCAGTGTCATCTAAATGACCACCAGCTGCTGACAGTGGACAGTGGGCTACTGGTCAGAGGGTACATGTCAGACAGCTCGGGTTGGCAAAAACAAATCCATTTTGATCTTTTGTCCTCATAATAGTGATTGGGGCGCTGAGTGAGACAGACTGTTCTCCTTCCTGGGCACCACTCTGAGCCCCCGACATCGGGTCCCACCTTGTCTCACCTGCAGCACCAGGGCGGCAGTCAGCACGCAGCAGGCTGTGAAGCAGACGGAGAAGCCAAGGAGCATGAGAAGTCTCCTGCCTAGCAGCTCCACCACAAAAATCTGGAGGAGGCAGCAGTGAGGTGAGGAAGGAGGCCCAGTGCCCAGCGCCCAGGCCAGAGGGGAGCTGGCTGACTTGGTGTCCACCAAGTCACAGAGCTGCCTTCCCCACCTCACACCAATGGGGCAGCTTTGTGGAGAGCAGGGCCGGGAGGAGTGGGGGAAGAGGGAGCTGTGTTCCTGCTGCCTATGTGTGTGCACACACCCAACTGCTTGTGTGTCTGTATGTAATGTGTGCATGTGCATGTAGACACACACACACGCATGCTCACATGCACAAGAAGTCCCTAATAAGTGACCAGCAGGAAAGGTGTACCCCTGAATCAGGACTCCTGGGAGCTGCTAAAGGCTAAATGTCGGGGTGAACTGGAGCAATTCCCCCCTCCAGAGGTGACCAAGGTGCTTCTGTCAGATGTCTCCCATGCATGGAGCCAGGGCTCCATCCCTTCCTGTCACACTGTGGTCCTGGCACAGGTAGCATGCGCCCTGGACAGCTTGGCAGTCCTGGATGTAAAAGGTTGAGAAATCATTAAACAGGTGGGAGGAGGGGCCGGAGGCCTCCAAGCACAGGTTGTTTCCCTAGGAGACAGGCACATGTCAGATTGATGGTATCAGCTCAAACAAATCCATTCTGATCTTTTGTGATTGTGGCACTGAGTGAGACAGACACTGTTCTCCTCCCTGGACACCACTCAGAGGTTAGAGATGAGGGACGAGGGGCCCAGACCCACTCCTGGTGGGCAGTCCCCTCTCAGCAGTGCTTGGTCAGTGGTGGCAGATAGGACACAGTGGCCACTCACCGCACAGATAGTCATCAGCACGTTGACGGCCCCTGTGCCTGCAGTCACATACTGGACATCAGTCGCCTTCACGCCAGCTCTGCTGTAGATCTTGTCTGCATAGTAATAGATCTGGAATGATTGTGGTAAAGGATGAGGGGCTGGCCTGAGGAGGGGGCTGTGCAGAGGGGCTGGCAGCACCTGGACCTTGTGGGCCCCAAGAAGGCAGGGCCTGTGTATGCCTGGATTTTGTGTCCCTGCCCCCGATCCCAGGGTCCCAGACCCCAGCCTGTCTCCCTGACATTCTGTTTGCTTCCGTACCGCATTGACACCAGACAGCTGCTGGCCACCCATTAGGATGATGATGGTGATGACCTGCCACCTCAAGGACCGCAAGCTGAACAGCTTCAGCACAGAGATGGAGCCTGTGGCCTGCTCTGCCTCATCCTCCAGCCGGATCTCCTCTATTTCCTCGTCCACATTGCTCCAGCCACGAAGACGCTTCAATGCTGAGGGTGGAGGCCAGGCTGTGTGAGGACATCGAGCTGAGGGGCCGGCACCTCCCAGCTGCCTCCTCAAGTATGGTGCTACCTTTCTTGGCGGCCGCTTCGTCATTCTTCTGAACCAGCAGGTACCTGGGGCTCTCAGGGAAGAAAGGCAGGAACACCAACTGTAGAGCTGCGGGGACCCCGGTCAGTCCCAGGAGAATCGGCCAGCCTGCAAGACACAGTGACCTCACCTGTGGTCTTGGCTCCTTCCTGGTGCCCACCAACCAACCTCATCCACCAGGCCCATCAGGCACTGTCTGGTGAGTGTCTGCTCTGTGAGGGCAGAGTCTCTACCGTTCTCTCCTCAGGCCCCAGCACTGAGAACAGGGCCCAATGGATCATGGGCACCCAGCCAGCACTTATAGAAGGGACACCACACACCTAGCAGATTGCTAGAAATGCAAAAGTCTGACAATGCCAAGTATTGATGAAGATATGGGCACATGGGAACTCTTCCCACTCTGTTCTTGGACAGTGTGGTGTTCTTTGAGGGCAGTCTGAAGGACTTACTGAGGCTAGGCATCTGCCTGGCCTCTGCCCCAGCAGTCCCATGCCCAGAGAAGCCAATGTGTGCCCTGGGCCACCAGGACAGCACTGATTCTAGAAAGGAAGCTGGAAACTGTGCAAGTGGCCCTAACACTAAACTGACCAATAATCATGGTATATTCATAAAATGGAGTTCACTGTAGGATAAGCAATGAGCTGTTAATAGCAAGTTCAAACCCACCAGCCACTCCTCAGAAACCCTCTACAGGGGTGCTATGAGTCGAATCTAACTCGATGGCACTGAACAACAACATACCTCAGTAGAAAGAAAGACAGAGCAAGGCCAAATCTCATAACAGGATGTGGAATACAAGGATCTACAGAATGTGACTCTACTGTTTGATGCTTAGAAATAGAACAACTCTACTACTGAGAAAGGTGGAAAAGGTTCCTGGGTAGCACAAAGGGTTTGTGTTTGTCTCCTAACCTAAAGGTTGGTGATTCGTACCCACCTCACATTGCCACAAAAGAAAGGTCTGGTGATCTGTTTCCATAATGATTATAGAATAAATAAATAAATAAACAAAAACAACCCTGTAGAGCAGTTCTACTAAGTAACACATGGGGTTGCCATGATTCAGAATGAACTCAGTTGTTGTTGTTAAGTGCCATAGAGTCGGTACCGACTCATAGCAACTTTATGCATAGCAGAATGAAACACTGCCCGATCCTGGGCTAACCTCACTACTGTTGGCACACTTGAGTCCATCGATGCTGCTACCTGGCTGATATGTCTAGTTGGGGGTCTTCCTCCTTTACTCTGACCCTCCACCTTACCAAACATGACATCCTTCTCCAGCCACTGGTCCCTCCTGACAATATGTCCGAAAGTTTGGCCATCTTGGTCTCCAAGGAGCACTCTGGCTGCACTTCTTCCAATACAGATCTGTTGGTTCTATGGGCAGCCCATGGCACTTTCAATATACTCCTACAACATCATAACTCAAAAGCATCAATTCTTCTACAGTCTTCCTTATTCACTGTCCAGCTTTCACATGCATCTGAGGTTATTGAAAATACCATGGCTTGGGTCAGGCACACTTTAGTTCTCAAGCTGACATCTTTGCTCTTCAACACTTAAAAAAGGTCTTGTGCAACAGATTTGCCTAATGCAATGTGTCATTTGATTTCTTGACTGCTGTTTCTGTGAGTGTTTATAGTTGATCCAAGAAGAATGAAGTTCTTGACAACTTCAATCTTTGCTTCATTGGTAAGAGAATGTTGTTTATTGGTCCAGTGGTGAGGATTTTTGTTTTTTTTACGTTGAGATGTAATCCATACTGAAGGCTGTGCT